AAAGAAACACAAAAACGATGTTATTATTCCCTTCAGAAATCTTGTAGAATAACATCATAATAATAACATGTAATTTTTTCAAAACAAAATTAAAAGTGATGATAGAATACAAAATAATAGATACATATAGATCCAGTATCATCCATAAAGTTCGTAACACATGGAGAAAAAGTTTATTAGTAGAATATCGAAACATTTTTTCTCGGGGATCTATTATGCATGTCTGACTACTTAAAAGTCGATTTTGACACATGTCATTTGATCACTGGTATGGCGGTGAATTCAAAAAATTACGATGGCAAAAAGTGGGACTAGATGGGAAGATTGAGTTATTTAAAAAAAAAAAAATAGCTATTTTCAGTTTTCTCAAATAATGGCTGGAAACTCCATATGTGAGCATAAAATTGAATTCTATTCAACTTGTACATCATCAACATCAACATCATCAGAAAAAAATAGGGGAATTGTAACAAAATTGAAGAATATTCGAAAAAATATAATGTGCTGGAATAGCAACTTAATAAGAAATGTTAATGGATATTTTGTTATCTAACCCCACTTTTCGTCGCTTAATAGTATTTTTTTTATTTATCACCATACCAGTGATCACGTTTTCATATGTTATGGACTTCATGGATGATACTTGATACTGTATATATCTGTTAGTAAAAATCTTTATCATGCTTGAAATAACAAAATCTTGCCAAAATACGATCGAATTTTTCAGTTTAAACTAGTAAAAATCAAAGGTAATATTGCAATTCGTCTCATTTTCAAAAATTTGAATGAATTCATGACTTTTTCGAAAAAAGTCAATGGAATTAATTCACGAATTGAATCACTGATTTAATTCATATGAGTTATTTCATGCCAACTCTGCCCTTGATGTATGAAAAATTTACTTGATCACCCTGTAGAAGTGCCAATGGCTTATCGAGTGTAACAGACGAAATGAAGTGACTGTCCTGACCTTGCCTTTCAGATAACCGGAAGTGACTAAGAGTAATATTCGAGGATCAAGTATATAGGAAGAGTTAGAAACGGTTGAGAAGTGAACGGCTCCTAGTCCCAATGCAAAATCACTGAACCCGGATTTATGATTAGATCGTGAAATCGGGGGCAATTCGACCGTGCCCAAGATAATCTCTAATTAAACTCTGTATGAAATCGAATCAGACCATGGCACATAACTGGTTCACAAGGAAGATGCGAAATATGGAAATTTATCGCTTTTGCTATAGCAAAAAATGCCAATAAACGGAGCATATTGTCCAAAAATTCAGGCAGTTATTATCGAGGTTATTATGCTGAATTAAGTATACAGTGTGTCCCACTTACCATGCTCACCATGGGTATCTTTTTAACTGTGAGAGATACGAGGTCGGTTAAATGACACCAAATGTGGAGTTTGTCAAGGCCTACTATGATGTGAAAAAATATTGTGATAAAATCTATTCGTGTTTGTTTTATACGCAAAAAACAGATTTTGATCATTTTCATGTCTCCTCCATAACTTCTTCATTTATGAAAATATTCAAAGAGGAATTTCACATTCTCATGGTAGTTTTTCAAAATGATTTCGAAAAAAATATAAAATTTATACCAACTCTTCTAGAATTTGAGATATCAGCACCAACTTTAGTTTTTCAAGTTAATCGGAGTTATGGAGTTTTTGTTGAAATTTAAAAAAATGGCTGCTCCAAGATGGCGGACAAGATTTGGTCCGATTCCATTCAAAATTGGTAAGTGGGGGTTTTTGAGGTCGGAGATCATGATTTTTTTGTTAAAATTTATAAATTCAAGATGGCGGCTTCCAAATAATTGTTTGTTTCTGTATAAATGACGATAACTCCGTTGTTATCAACACAAAACTATTTCTGCGACATATCATCTGTGAGAGAAAAAAAAGTTGTTTGTAACTAAGTCATAGTGAGCTAAGACCTACATTTGAAAAACTAAAGTTGGTGCTGATATCTCAAATTCTAGAAGAGTTGGTATAAATTTCATATTTTTTTCGAAATCATTTTGAAAAACTGCCATGAGAATGTGGAATTCCTATTTGAATATTTTCATAAATAAAGAAGTTACGGAGGAGAAATGAAAATGATCAAAATCTGTTTTTTGCGTATAAAACAAAAACGAATAGATTTTATCAAAATATTTTTTCACATTATAGTTGGCCTTGACAAACTCCACATTTGGTGTCATTTAACCGACCTCGTATCTCTCACCGTTAAAAAGATACCCATGGTGAGCATGGTAAGTGGGACACACTGTATATACAGGGTGTTTCAGACTTAAATGTACATAGGATACTTGCAGATAGAGGACACTTTGACGGTTTCAAATTACCCCCCATTGATGTGTGTTCCGTCATTTATAACTGAGATACAGGACGTTATCTTGATTTTGGCAAAATCTTCATCTGGTCATAATTTTTGAACCACGTTGTATAATCTATTCATGCTTGGTAGAAATATTCCACTTATATTACACATCAAAACTAAATAAAACTGTAGATCAGAATCCAGGTCCGTCTTAAGAAAAAACAGAAAACTTCTTTAGTTCAAAAACAACACTCTGTGTGTCAAAATTTTGTGGATCTGTTTTGATATTTGAAAAGAGCATCCAATTTGACAGATGGTTTATTATTATGTTTTCAAATATTCACCCCATTCGGAGGCTTTTTTATTGAACTGCAATTCAAAATCCAATTTGGATAGAAAAAAAAAATAATAATAGGCTTCAGAGTTGAACTTCATTAGAGTCATATTAGGTGAACTATTGATAGATTTTTTCGTTTCACAGAATAGCTTGTCACTGTTCATTCATAAGCTGCGGTGAACTAGGCTGTGCTAGAAATTTTGAATGTTCAGGCATAATTATAAACACTTTGAAATGTAACAACCCAAATTACAAGCACCAACAACTATCTCAACGTTACCAATTATATCAAACTAGTAATTATGAACAGTCAGAAAATCAGATGTTTTTGCACAGCCTTACCGCACCTAATGAAATAATAGTGAAGAATAAATTGAGCCCTCAAAAATTTTTAAAACTACAGACATTATTTTGTCGAACCAACAGATTTTTCTATTTGACTCCCATGATGTTGAACTTCGAAGACTGTTATTATTTCGTAAAAAGATTGGGTTTTAGATGACGAGTTCAATAAAAATAACTCAAAATAGAGCCGAGTATATCAGAAAATAATAATGAAACATCTGTCAAATCGGATACGCGGTCGTAACAGGTAGGTCACTTCATTCGTTTTTCCCTGCTCTTTTCAAATATCGATACAGATCTACAAAGTTTTGTCATATGGAGTGTTGTTTCTGAAATAAAAGAAGTTTTCTGTTTTTCCTCAAGACGGACCTGGATTCTGATCCCGATTTTCATTTGATTTTGATGGGTAATATACAGTGTGTCCACCTCAAGGACCTACCACCCCTGTAAAATTGTTATTATCCGACCGATTTCAAAAAACTTTTTTTTTGTTGGATCGGTATTCGAAATGTCCATTCAACAAGAGAGTGATTTTACTCATGAACTGTAATCGTGGCCAACTGCGACCAACTTTATTGACCCATATTTGAGAAAGTAGGTACTATTATAGGGATTTTTTTTCACAAAAAACAATGATGGATTCTGAATCACGATCACTTGAAAAACACCTTTTCTGATTTTTATCATTATAAAACACAGGGTGTCCGAAAAAACAAATTATGTTTTTTTTAATAGGTGATCAGAAAAGGTAGTATTGTGGTATTTTTGAGAAGAATTGATGACACATTATTATTGAGGATCACTTTGAACATATCTGTACCGATTTTCATCATTCAAAAATACAATGTGTATGAGAAAACAATTAAAAAGAAAAAGTAGGCAATATTTTTTAATCAACTCAAAAAAAAATTAATTTGATTTTTTGAACACCCTGTGTTTAATGATGATGAAAATCGGTACAGGTATGTTCCAAGTGATCCTGATTCATCTTTTTATTTTGAGTGAAGAATTATCAGGATGAAAAATATTGCTTACCTATCCTTCTTAATTTTTTTCTCAGACACATTGTATATTCAAATGACGGAAATTGGTTCAAGTATATTTGAAATAATCCTCCATGATAATTTTTGATTATTTCTATCTATTTGAAGAAAATGATGATCGGTACAGGTATATTTCAAGTGGTACTGATTCAGAATCCATCATCAAGTTTCGTGGAAAAAAATCCCTGATAGTACTTTCTGGAATATGGGTCATTAAAATTTGTCGCAGTTGGCCACGATAACAGTCCAAGAATTAGATCACTCTCTCGTTGGATGGGCATTTCAAATACCTATCCAACAAAAAAAGGTTTTTTGAAATTGGTCGGATAATAACGATTTTACAGGGGTGGTAAGTCCTTAAGGTGGACACACTGTGAGTGAAATATTTCTACCAAGTATGGATAGATTATACAAAGTGGTTCAAAAGGTATGACCCAGATGCTGATTTTGCCAAAATCAAGATAACGCCCTATATCTCAGTTATGAAAGACGGCAGACAAATCAATGGAGGGTGATTTGGACCGTTTGGACCCATCAAAGTTTCCTCTATCTACAGGTATTGTATGTACATTCTAATAAAGGTTGTGGAGATTACTTTGGGTTTCCATCTATTATTCATACCTACGACAAAAAAATAGTGTAAGTAGTTCACTTTCGATAGTGTTCAATAAAATTCTGATAATTGAGATCCTATATACTTCCATTTTAAATAGAATTCGTACATCGACATCTATTAGAATGCGATTTTCAACTGTTTATTGTCGTAATCGAACTGTCAATGCTTATTGTCAGACAGTGTACAACATACTGTGAACAAACAAAAACGTCAGAACAGAAACGTCAAATGAATTGAGAAACCCTATAACATAACCTAACCCCCAAAGAACCTTCCTGTGATATCACCACAATCAACAAGTCACAATAAAATTGAAACTCACTTATTTTGAATCGAAAATATATTGTCTAGTCATGGGAGATGCACATCAAAGCAGATGAATTACGCGAAGCAATTTCAATACAATTCTCAACAATGCTTTACGTATTCTTCGAGCAAATTTAAACTGACAAAAGGCCCTACCACAGTCAGCCAAGATATAACGGGATTCTTACTGCAACAAAAAATGCCATCAAAATTCAATTAGTCACGACAAGTAGGATATCACCTGGTCGCCAGAAACGTCTGTAAAATTTCCTGGGTCTTGCAAGGATGGAGGCTCAGAAAATGTTTACATAGTACAGGATGATCCTGAGAAGATTGGAAAATAAGGTTTCGACATAAACATACATATTAGTGGATGCTTCTCGATGCTTCATGTATGTGTGGAAAATAATGTGAGTGTCTGATGGTTTGCGATCAGCTGATCAGCAAAAGACCAATGATTACAGATTACAGTCCCTAGATGCAAACTGACATATTTGTCATTTCAACAGGGTACAGACGGATTCCGATCTCCTCCCACCCATAAGTGTTTGTGAAACAGTTATATAGTTCCATCCTTATCCAATTTTGGTGATGAACACTAGATTTCTGACATTTGTTGTTTTTTAAGTTATATTGAGGACATAATATCATCATACGTAATTTTGACATGCGATGGAATTATATCCAAATGAGAATCAATCACTAGATGATTAAAAGAGAAAGGAGCTATGATCTGTCCGTACCCTGTTGAGATGACAAATATACGTCAATTTACATCAAGGGACCCCATGTACCAGCTATAGAATTTCCCCCCTGTAAAAACTCAACCGCGTGGTCGAATGACTTGAAATTTGGTCTCCCAGTATATTTGATCATTCTCACTCGCAGTATGCTATTAAATGAATCGTATATATACATGGTCATATACCGAAGTGCACCTAAACACTCTTATTTCAATAGGGACACCCAGTACATTATTCCATATTCAAGTATATAAGCTCATCATCACAAATTCAACAACTGGGTCTGATGGTATTTTTTACAACGACTACGAAGATATGACAAATGATGAAACGAATCAATTGAACATACATTTGTGATATTCTGTTTCATTTCTTCCATATTCATAGCGACTCATAAACCCACGAGCATAGCTGCACAAAATAATATTCACTATTTCATTTTATTATTGGATAAGTATCTGGTTAATCTGTGGTATCAACATATCGATATTTCTTCCCCCTCCATTATTCAAATAGTTCTATTATCTTCGAAGTTGAAAAAATCATATCGAAGTTCGATAATCGAACCCATTTTTGTTAAAATGGCTCTACTTGAACATGGAATGATATACTGTGTGTCCCTATTCCAATAAGAAAGTTTAGGTGCACTTCAGTGTGACTCTGTACACATATACGATTAATTCAATAGCATATTTCGGGTAAGCTACATCAAATGACCAAATTTCAAGTCATTCTATAGTGCGGTTAATTTTTCACAGGTGGGGACATTTCAGATGGGACACGGTGTATATACGATTGAGAACTACTTATGTATTGAGAATGAAAATTACTCACCATTTGAGTCAAAGTTTCATACATATTGGAATCTCCAAACGCCGTATTACTTTTCCAATACCCTTCTAGAGTCAACAGGGATCCGTCTGAAAAAACTGATAGTTATCACAGCCTCAAACTACATACTGTCTGTAGGTTAATCAAGGAGGAGGTACATTCATTATTCCAGATTTTTTTTTTTTGAATTTTATCCTCGTCATCATAAAAAAAATATATGAATACCATTCCAATATACGTATAGTTAGGACAAATCAGATGATTTGCCCCAAAATGTCACTTCTTTTAAAGAATTTTCCTATCAGAGATCCTGAAAGAAAAATTCACTAGCTCGCCAGTGAAAATTTGTATTGAAAAAGGTTTGGAGAAGAGAAATAAAGGTATATAGAGAAAATATAAAATGTTTACTTATCTTTGGACGTTTCGAAAACGAATCTGAAAAATGGATTTTTTGTAATGCATTCTTCTGAACGGAGACAATAGCATTGCTTCATGTTCAGTTGATATAGATAGAACATGGTATTCACTACTGAAATCTGAGAATGAAAATGGTAAATTCAAGATTAATTAATGGACACATCCTGTAACTCATTTGATTGCCAACGTCACCAATTGTCACTGAGAACTGAAAAGTGTCAGGACAAATACGAATTTCAATACAAAAAAATCCATTTTTTATGTTGAAAACGGGAGCAGATTCGTTCCCGAAACGTTCAAAGATAAGTAAAAATTCGATATTTTTTCTATATACATACCTTTATTTCTCTTCTCCAAACCTTTTTCAATACAAATTGTCACTGACAAGCTAGTGAGTTTTTCTTTTAGGATCTCTGATAGGAAAATTCTTCAAACGCAGTGACATTTTGGGGCAAATCATCTGATTTGTCCTAACTACACGTATATTGAAATAGTAGTCATATTTATATTTTAAAGAGACGAGGACAGAAAATCCCAGAAAATCTGGAATAATGAACTGAAACTACATATTTGTTTTGATATAACTTTAATGATTTGTATCTGGAATTACCTGGTTGCCAAATGTTGAAACATAATACTGGAACTCCATAACTGATATTATATGCAACGTGGTATTCGAAAGTGACAGGTACTTCACTGGCATCCTCAGGCGCTTTGAGCAAAGTAGTCTGCTTTTTAACTATATATTTTCCGTTTTCTGAGTCCTACATGAACAGAGAATCAAATGAAATGAAAGAGGTGGGGCTAAAAAAATGGGAGGACGTACATCTTTGATTTTCATCACCCACCCATCCAAAATTGCGTCCGAGATTGAAACTATATCATGAATACATTTTCCAAAATATTCAACTGATAGGTGGTCCATTTTCAGTCCTGAAAAAAAGATTCCCAATGAACAAGAGAAAATCGAACATTACATCCGAAAAGTCAAGTTTTTTTTCAATGGCCACGTTCATACCGTGTCTTGGTAAAGTTACCGGCTTGGTTTGGTACCGAAATTTGACTGAAAAATATTATGATGACCAAGACGGTATATTATTATAAACTCTTTGGTCTACGTTTGTATAGCCTACACTTGAGTTGAGTGCAACTGTCAGTTGTTTTATGATGCTTCAAAACAATTCCTCATTCAGCAATTTCTGCTCATTTTGAAGCTTGCTGAATGGTATTATTACTTATTTATGCATTTAAGTAGAGTTCCGAAAATTAACGTCAAAATAATAATCGAATCGAAACAAAGTTAGTCAACTGATGTAATTTGGTCCGAATTTGCTCAGATCAGGATCACCTTGGTAAGCATACCAAATATCCATAACGTCCACCAGGTATAAACGTGTATTCGTTGTGGCAAACCAACCATAGATGCGAAGACAAACTCAAAAATGGTTCATCAAAAAGTAAATTTCATTAACTATCCTACTATATACTATACTATATCACTTTAAACGGCCCCCCTCTATATCTCAGTTATTAGTTATACGATTCCAACCAAATTTCGTGTGGTATGAATTACCATCAATATGATCAGTTTTACAGAGATGCACATTATTTTGGACAGTGCCGTGCGTTTTTATTGAACTAAAAAGGGGTCGATTTTTCATAAAATCATATTAGGCATTTTTTTACAGGAAATCCAACCTAATATTATTGTTCCACATGCTTTTGAACCTCCATATGTAAAAATTCACGTAAATCCGAATTAACAGGATTGGCTTCACTTTCTTCATTTTCAGTCTCGAATAAATAGTGACTTCAAATCAACTACGAATTTTGGAACGTTCAATGGCTCCGGTAGGTAGGAAATCATGATTTGGAAGGAAAAACGACTTACACTTTCTCATGTTGAACTCACCGTTTCCGAGTAAATAATTATTACGTTCGCAAAAATGCTGTTCAGATGTGCCTGTTTTTCTGAATCCCTTCATAGGCATGTTATGAAAATCCACATATGTGGGTTCGAAAACATGAAGAACATTATTATGAGGTAAGTTTCCCTGTGAAAAAATTCCTAATATCAATTAATAAAAAACTGACCCCTATTCATTTCAATAAAAATGCACGTCACTGTCTGAAATGATGTTTGTCTTTGAAGAACTGGTCATATTGATGATTATTCATACCGATACAAATTTGGTACAGTTCGCACGACTGATAGCCGTTTGAAATGAGACAGGCTGTATAAGTCGAAAAAACTAGAATTAAACAGAACAAAATCACAAAAGGGTTTCATGAAGATCTCAGGTATTAAGAAAACAGTGTTTCAGGACAAAGACAATACACAGCAAAATTGATTTGTTCTGCAACAACAAAAAAGTCGTCCATTTTAACACCAGAATTAGCTCTTGAATTGACGTTTCTATTACTGACACAAAAATAGGTATGTTGCTAGGCAACACATTTAGTTCCTAGCAGCTTAAGTTGAATTTTAGCTCCTAGGAACTTGAAAGGATGTACGAATCAAGGATAATAGTAGATTGTTTTATTAGGATCAAAAGTGACACTTTGTTTGACAAGCGAATTTTGCATTTGCGAGGCGGAGCGTTTAGCGAAGCCGAGCGAAAGCAAAATTTGCTATATGCTATATATATGATATATATGATATTCAAATATGTAATTTGATGGTAAAATACGAACCAGAAATGCTCGGTCAGCAAGGATTTTTGAAAAACTGCAAGAATAAACTAGGTACACCTCCGAAGGGGGGTGGATCGAAATTATCTTACTGGTGGCATCTATATTCTATACATATAGAATATTCAGATATGCCATTTGAAGAAAAAATTCGAATCAGATAGTGATATATCTTAATAAATAATGGTTTGTTCACATTTTCATAATCCAATTCGTGTTTTTCACTCGGTTTCTCAGACATAAATACGTATGTACCAAAAACAATAAATTTTCGAAAAAAAAACCATCGCGTGATAAGTGCATTTTACCAATTACCAAAAAATCAAGTTCAGCTGGTAGAGCAAGCACAAAGAAACAGGTCTATGCATTTTCTTGTTCATCTGTAATAATGATGGTAATTCATTATTTAATGAGTAAATGAATGATCTCCAAATGGGTCCCATACACGTCCCATATCGAAATGTGCCTATACGTCACTAACCGTACATTTATTCCCCAGTCAATGATCTCTTCTGATTTGAATAAAAGAGGCATTAACGTGGCACAAAGGCGCAAATATAAAGGACCGAAAATCCCGACTTATTTTTATGAAGTTTCAAATTTATTCGTCAATAAACGTTGAGCACGCCTCCGTAGTCTAGACAAAAATGCAGTTTCGACGAACAAAGATGGGGAATGATTCATTGCTGCAACTTTTTTATTGCTATTTACAGGACATTCCGAAAGTACGCCTACTCGAAAAGTCACTGGGTTGGAAGAGAACGAATTCGCAATGGAGAATGAAGATACCTACAATGAAATCAATCTCATTAACGACAATGTTTCTGGGAACTTATAGTCGACGCTCCTCAGGACATGGGCGTAGCTAGGGAGGGGCAGGGGTATCACGTGTTTCCCCCCCCCCCATGGTCCAGTCAGGAAAAATATCAATGGAAGTGTTTTTCCATGATAGGTAATATTTATAGGACAGGACAAAATTCATACAGTCTACTCCACCAAAACTATACTTTATTGTAAGCAAACTCACGGGGACATGTTTCGAAGCTTTAAAGCTTCATCATCAGCGTTTTTGTTACATAGGAGCACTAAAGTGAGAGAAAAACGAAGAACAATGTCAGACAAACCCCTCAACAACGATAGGTCTAAAAAACTCACCTGCTCTGGAGGAAAAAAGTTATGTTCACATATTTAGATTATTGAAAAATGTTTTAAAAAATGATAATAAAGCTAAATGGGGGCCGCATTTGATGCGGAACCACTCTGTTAAGGAACTTTGAATTTCATAATTATAATAATTATACCTACGAATCAGATCAAAATTGAAAAAGTCTCATCTGTTCATGCCGAACTCTTAAAAAGACAAGAAAAATGAGATGTCCTATTACCTTCACTCCACTGTGAGATTTATCGCCTCAGATGGTAATATTTATATACATAAATGAAAGAAAAGACTCTAAGTCGGTCGACCACACTTTATATCAAAAATTTTAAATTAGTAAGTGACCGGTTTCGGCACAACGGCCATCATCATACTGAAACGACCTAAAATACATTACGAATGTAAAGGAAAAACATGTCCTGGAATAATGTTCCCATATTTGGAGTGCAGCACCCAAACATACCCTGAAACTGTTGGATTCTGTCCAAAAAAGGGCAATTCGTCTCGTGGGTGATGCCTTGCTCACAAACTGACTCACTTCTCTGGAACACCGTAGAAAAGTTGGCGATCTGGCTCTATTTTATAGATATTTTCTTAGATGCTGCTCTTCTGAAATATCAACAATTGTTCCTCCCTTGGCAGTCCCCGCGAGATTTACATGTCGAGTTGAGGTTTCGCACCCCATCGTGATCACTTTCGAGACCTGCAGAACATCTCTTTCCAAAGACTCGTTCATCCAACGAACAGCGAGGCTCTGGAATACATTGCCATTGGAGATGTTTTCCTAGGCATATAACCTCCAGAAATTTAAGAAGAACACCAATTCCTACCTTATTTCCCTTGGTTCTCACGATGTTCTCTGAACATTACAGGATATCCCTTTTCGTGGGAACCAGAACATGGAAAAAAAAGAATAAAACAAACCTGTTATGGAACAAACAGACCATTGAAATTGAATACCATAATAAGTTACGTGATGAGTTGGAGTCAGTTCCATTTTTTGAAGCGGCTGAATAAGAGCCAGACAAATCTGACTCTAATGAGATTGAACATTTCAAGAAAGAGATGAACATGTTTTTTTATCGATCACATGTTTAAAACGTAGCTGAATGTAAGAAACATTGTCAAAATATATCACCTTTCTGGAAACCCTGTGTCATATAAGTATCTACAAATTTCATAAGAATGAATAATGATCAGTCACTTCGAATAAACTGAAGAAGATACAAATATGCGAGAATGTATTTCACCAGAAATGAGGTGTAGGTACTCAATCCACATTTCATCTTTGCCAAAACATGTCGAAGCGTCTACTCGAACGTTTCTGGGTGTTAGATTGCAAACGAGATTGCAAGCAAACAGGGATATATTTGGTATTCTTCAATTAAACCACCAACATATGCTCCGAAGACCGAACCATTATAGAACTGATATTGTCTAAATTTGAGATAACAGTAAAATTATTTTTTTCATGTTCTGGTTCCCACGAAAAGGGATATCCTGTAATGTTCAGAGAACATCGTGAGAACCAAGGGAAATAAGGTAGGAATTGGTGTTCTTCTTGAATTTCTGGAGGTTATATGCCTCGGGGAACACCTCCCTTGGCAATGTGTTCCAGAGCCTCGCTGTTCGTTGGATAAACGAGTCTTTGGAAAGAGATGTTCTGAAGGTCTCCAAAGTGACCACGAAAGGGTGCGAAGACTCAACTCGACGGGTTAATCTCGCGGGGACTGCCAATGGAGGAATAATTGTTGCTATTTCAGAAGAGCATCGTCTATGAAAATATCTACAAAATAGCGCGAGATCGCCAACTTGTCTACGGTGTTCCAGAGAAGTGAGTGAGTTCGTGAGCGAGGCATCACCCACGAGACGAATTGCCCTTTTTTTGACAGAATCCAACAGTTTCATCAGGATATGTTTGGGTGCTGCACTCCAAATATGGAAACAGTATTCCAGGAAAGGTCGGATCTGTGCCTTATAGATCATAAGCAGCTGATTGGAAGTGAATAGCTCCTGGCCCGAAACAAAGAACCGAGTTTTTGAGATGCACTTTTAGCAACTGATCTCACGTGATTTTCCCAAG